AAATCTACCAATTAGTACCAGTTATGTTCCTGATTTTTGGATCAGCTTTTTTCATACTGGCAGGCAAAGGCTTTTTGAAACGGAAAAGTGCTGATACAAGTATAAAAGCCAGGTAAGCTGGAAGAAGTAGATCTGTAATCACTGAGTTAGAGCTACAGTACATTGCAAGTATAAAAGAAATGTCCCTCTGCATTCTGGTGATATGGTTCAGCCAGGAGTCTCATCTAAAATGTTTACATTATTAGAGAAATTGCCATAATATGTTGGAAAACACTACTACACAAGTGCAAGTAATACAATGTGATCTGAAGTAAAAAATTAGGCACTTATGAGAGAAGACCTTTTATTGTGCACAGCATGCTTATTTGTTAAAAATCTCTCAGATGAGGTAATACCTTTTGCAACTAAGCTTTATCTTCTGCCTATTTATATTTTTCCTCTCTTTTTATCTATATGTGCATTTTCAAGACTATAGGAGAGTACTTATCACATGCCGATTACAGGTATAAACCTATTTTACTCTGTGTCTTCAGAACAGGGCAAAACTGGACTTCAGGTCCTATGTACGCAGGAAAGAATCAATTTTACATTTTGTGCATAAGTACCTTGTTAGAAAAACATGCTTCTAATAAAGTAAAAATGATAAAATGTCTAGATATGAGCATTCTCCAGCCCCCAAGCAGACTCTTAATACCTTACAACTTCAGTTTTTCAGAAGCTGGATAAAAAGATTAGTTTCTAATAGTACATTATATTGCACCTATTCCAAATAAAATTGATCCAGTCATTATGCTCTTCCCTCTTCTTTTTCTTTTTTGCCTTCATCCTTGAAATAGGCTACAATTTGCTGTAGCCTATTTCTTGTAGAGAATCTCAGCAGCATGCCAAATCATTTTAACCTAGCCCAGCAAGATATACATTGGAACCACAGTAGTAAATATGGATTTTGAATTAAAGATCATCAATTATCTGCACTCAGACTTATTTTCTTTGTTTTCGTCACTATTACCTAATTAGTCAAACCTTTATTTCTTTTTTTATCACTTTTATATGTCTTCTTTTACTTGTGGTGTCACTTGTTTGCATGAGATGGAAACATATATAACAGCAACTAAAACTAGCACTTAGAAGTAACTGTACCAAAAGCAAATAAATAAATGAAAAAAAGACCCCCAAGTCCTTTTGTGTGCATATAAGAAGAGTAACGAGGAAGACAGAGAGCTGTTCACTGATCCCTCTTTCCTAAGCTCTTAATAAGGCAGAGGACTATTAATCTTTCTCTAGTAGCAGCTACACTTTTTAAAATTACATTACAAAGCCAGGCAATATGATGATAAAGGTAAGAGCTTGATAAACCCCCACAATCACTATATTACTTTCTTATACAGAACACATACACATAATGGCACTTACTCTGTGCAAACTTTGGAGGATTGTCATTGACATCAGTGAGTGTAATTGTCACTGTTGTAGTTCCAGACAGTCCACCCATATGTCCTCCCATGTCCTTTGCTTGGATGACTACAAAGTATTCTTCTTTGGCTTCTCTGTCCATGTTGGGTAGAGCTGTTTTAATTATAGCTACAATAATGAGGGGAAAAAAATGTCAGGTACAGAACTAAATTCAGTTTTGCAGATATTTTTATGGCTGCATATAAATGTTCGTATAAAATTTGACCTATGTAAGGTCCAGTTAAGTTGTCTTTTTGTACCAAGGATAAAGAAGAATTTGAGATTTTCAAAATAGTATATTAGAGGTCACCTACCTCGATTTAATTAAAGTGTGATGAAATTGTGGTCCAAAACCCAAGAACTAATTATACATGTGATATATATTAATGTTTGCACTTTTTTCCCTGATAAACTTTTTGGTTTCTGTCCTACTTCCCATAGAAATCCATCACTTCCCCACAGAATTCAAGAACAGAAGAAAACCACACAGGAAACTTACTCTGTAAACACTGTTAACCATTTCTGTCAGATTGTTTCAACTATTTTAAACTCCAAACTATGATTTAACCAGCTTTTCAATATAAAGCAGGATACAGTTGCTCCTTTAAGTCCTAAATCAAGCACCTGAACTTCTACTAGAGAATGACAGCATGTCTTCCAGTGTGTCCTTCAGCATAGTCACCAGTACTGCAAAATCCTGCAGTCACTCCCCTGTCCCTGCTCCAGGAGGGCCACTTTTTGGCCAATAATCTCAGTAAGCTGCTACCACCTACTTTATTAGGTTAGAAGTTTTTAAAAGTAGAGAAGTAAAATGATCTGTAGTGTATAAAAATGCAAAACGTCAGTGGGCTAGCAGGAAGGCATGTGCAAGGGACAGTCCAATTAAACCGGGGGTCAGATCCACTGCAAACTCCTATAGGTTTCATAGACATCTAACAGAAGGAATAATAAAATCTTTTTTTCTTTCCAAAACTTCTTCACCTGTAACGTGCTGTTATATTCACAACATTCAATATAGAAAGTTCAGTACTAATTGCTTAATGGTAAATTTAAATGGTGTTCATCACAGTCTAGTAATGCCCACCATAATAAAAAGATAATAAGCAACTGAAGAAGTCCCACTAAGCCTAGGGGAAACATCTCTAAATGCTAAATTAAAATACAGCTTTTTTTTTTTCTTTTAATCCTGTTTCTGAATTATATTAAAAAAAAAAAAAAAGAAGTCATTTGTCTGTGAAAAGAGAGCACACAGTTCAAGTTACTGAATTATCTTAGCGGTTAAGTGAAGTGTAAGAGGGCCTGAGGGGAATCGAATACACCATTGCAGTGGTTCCTTTAAACCATAATGCTTGAGGGTTCTTATGAAGCATAAAGAAGAGTGTTCTCTTTCCATGGGCCTGAACTCACAGAGCTGAAGGACATGGTTAATGGGCAGACGTTGACAGTAACTTGCCAAGTCTTTGCAAGTCATTGAAAAAAGGAGTTAGGAATTCTATATTGTACTGTATATTTGTTAAGATTTTCATATTGAATAGAGTGGCCAAATTCACACCCTGGATCATAGATTCTTGTTACTGGGCCTGATCGTACATTTCATTACCTCTCACACTGTTGGTTTTGGGTTTATTTTAGCCTATTCTTTGCTAAAGTATTGTCAGGAATTTTTAGGTGTCAATCAATACTTACTGTGAATCTGCTCCGTTTGATTTCTCTGTTGAGACTAGCATATCTGTGGAGACATCAGATAGCTCTTTTTCTTTCACATGGCATAGTTTCTATTGAACAAGCTTCTTGGAAATGGCACTCTGGCTGAAATGCTGAGTTTATCTATTAATGTATTTATGGTGAATAAATAAATTTTAGTAAATTATAGAATCTGTTTATCTTTAATATTGTATTACTATGAATCTGATCAGACCTCTTCTTGGCTGAGTACAGGACCAAGCTGGGAGCAAGGGGGGTAAGAGAAAGGCATTCAAAGAAATCCAATGTACTTGCTACATAAACCACCATATGTAGCACAGTAACAGTCATGTAAGCTATGCTTTTGTAAATGATTTCCATATAATATTTTTGGTTGGTGTCTTACATATTTTATAAATATAATTCTGGATAAAAATGAAACCTCTATCTTATGCCTACAACTGCCAAGCCAGAGTAATCTCTTGTTCCCAAGGAACTTGATATATTATCTGTGATTTTTCATTCCAACATGGGGTAAACGGTGTTAAGAGCAGCAAGGCTAACTGCACAGCAGATAGGGGTGAAGTAGAGTGTGGAAACGTGGCAGGCAGGAGCAGTGACCACGGAGCCACACTGCACAGTGGCGTGTCGGAGTCCCATTCAGACCCAGGGACAGTGACGAGGCTGTGGCCAGGCTGAGCCATGGTCCGACAATCACACAGCAACAAGGCAGGCATAAGGCCAGGGCAGGAAACAGCTGGAGAGTCTGGGTCTGTGTCAGAACCCAGAAGATATGAGCCCAGGAGCAGATGTAGCACAGTCAGGGGCCAGCAGCAGAGCCTCAGCCCAAAACCAGCTCTCAAGGAAACGGACAGGCAGCCCCTGCATGAAGCTTTCTTCACAACAGTTTATGAAGCAACCTTGAAGCACAACATTCATGTAATTTAACTACTCTATGCCATCTATAGGAGGGGACACAAGTTATTCTGCAGAACACTGGAAAACATGCTTCTGTTAATTTTTTTTAATGAAAACAAGGCAACACTAAAACCCAGAAGGTAATAATAAACATTTATCAGATGTGACAGGTGCAAAATACATTCAGTGGAAGAGTAGGACCATTCCCTCCATAACAGCTTTGGTAAGGAGAGTAAATAATACTTATTTTTAAAAGCATTTGACAGTTGTGACTGGTTTGGACTGATCAGTTTACTATTTAGGAATAATAATGATGCATTCTGTGAATAATTCTGTGAATAATATAGATGAGATGACTCATAAAAAAGATGCCAATGCAAGCTTAGGGTATCAGAATTTGGCCCACATTGATTTTTTTTCATTTATAGAGCTGATCCAACTATCAATGAAACTGTATTTCAAAGAGGTTTGTATTAAGCTTACTATAACTTTTTTCCCCATTACAATTTTTAGGTAGCATTTCCCTTGTTTGCCTTATTATTTCTTTTATCTAATTTACATAGTTAAGTCTAGCCTACAGATGACTTGAATAAGATGCCACATTTTGTATTCTGCAGTTTTCTCTGAGACAAATTAATTATTTCAAGAAAGTGATGATTTTTCCTAGACCGTGTATTAATTTGTTTCTTAATGTATGGAACAGTCTAGCCCTTGTCTACGATTTGAAAGATATCAGGAAGATCAAATACCTTTAAAAGTGCCTAAATCAGAATTACAGTTTCTAACTTTTACGACATAAAATTTGGGGTGCTTTTCTGTATAAAGATACTAACACAACCTGTTCTGTCAATTTTATACATATTCCTATCTGCTTTCTCAGCCTATAAACCATCTGACAGAAGCAAAAAATTGGAGCCGTCAAGTTTCAAATCCAAACACAATAAAAAGCTAAAAAGAAGTTTCTTGTTTTAATTACTGTAAGAGGAGTAGAAGTTTTTAAACATCAAATACATCCAAATTAGAGAGGCTGATTATTACCACTAGTATTTCCATATTCAGAATCTATAGAATGGAGATCTGTAAAAAAGAAGTGTTGGTATCTCTAATGAAGCAAATTAAAAAATAAAGACTCTATCCTTACCTTAATAATGAGATTGAGACAAAGACAGACTGGCAGAGTTAAACATACAGAATTTCAAGGATATATATTTGTTCTTTTGCTTTATTCACCAGTTCTCAGTCTGAGCTCACAGGAAGTCCTGAAACTTTCAATCTATTTTTAGAAAACAATTCAGGCTCACCAAATACTAATATGGATCCAGTACACAGAACATTAACTCATTGAACATTCAACCTGCTCTACTTCAACCCAGAAACAAATTGAGAATAAAAACATAATCAGTTTCAGTATGCTATGATGAATGAAAATTATATGTGCCAAACAGGAGAGTAGTTTAAAAGTGTGGGATGACAATTACTGCAAACTAATGTAAGGCAGATAGACGCTTGTTGGAAGATTATACTCAGAACAGTTATCAATGGCTTACTGTCAAAGCGGATAGATGGATGAAGTGGTTCATAGGGTTTGTTCTGCTTCTAGCATCTTTCAGTATTTCCTAAATGATGGAAGAGAGGAAGAACTTACTGAGCCTTTCAGATGACACAAAGTTGGGAGCCATTGCAAGTACTGGAAGAACATGATTAGAGTTCAAAACAATTTTGACAAACTGGATGGTCTAAAAAACCAGGATGCGACTCAATGTGGCAAATAAAAGTATTTTGTGCGGGTGAAGCAATTAACTGCACAATCACAACAGAGCAGATGACTCACAAGACAGAAACAACTGTGGAGTCAAAAAAGAGCTGAATATGAGTCAACAGTGTTTTGCTGATAAAAACGCTTAAACATTTCCTAGTAAAATAGCTAATATGTTATATGGAAGAACTGTAGGGATTACGCTAGTAAGGCTGCACCTGGAAGTGTATCCACTTTTGAAAAACTGAGGTTTATATAGTTAGAGAAGTGTGAGTAAAGACTTTACATCCAAATACATAAAAACTACTGGGAGCTACTCTCCTTTTCCACTGGGGATAAAAGAAGTAATGATGGGCCTAAAATATAAACCATGAAATGGGTTTAAATTGCAGCAAGACAGATTTCAGTTAAACATTAAGGGAACACTTTCTGAAAGAGAAGGTAAGTACAGACAGAAGGCTGTCTGAAGAATTTTCAGTATTTCCATTACTGCGAGTTTTTAAGAACCTATCAAAAAAACTTTTGAGAATATGAAGGGATAAACCCGATCCTTTTTGAGGCAAGGGCACTCAACTGCATTCTTACTTGAGGTCTCTTACATCCACATTGTGTAAAATAAGGCTTTCTCTTTATTCATAAAAATATTCTCTCTATTCTAAAATATTTCACAATACTTAGTCCTATGAAAATATTTGATGGACATGTAGTGCAATCACTGAGTAGATACCTGCATCATAGTTTGGCTACAGACCCTCTATCTAAAGCTGGAAAC